TTGCCAAGGTTTTGCATGGTAGTGGGCTGAAGACAGACCAAAGTCAACTCATATGAGTGCTTAAATAGCTTCCTTGTGTCTTTTCTTTAGCCTCTGTTGTGATGACCAAAGGATTGGATCAACTGCCATGAAGTGAGGCAGAAGTCATGGTGTTGCAGAGGCAGAGGAGAAAGTGCTCTCTGCTGCTTCTGACATTGTTAATGGAGCAATGAACTAGCAGGGCCAGCTGCCCTTTTGATTTGGTCTACTATCCTGACAAAGTGTGTAGACATTACACAAGTCATTACTCACGTTATCTCTACTATACATATACAGTGAAATTCTCGTAGCTGGAGCCAGTGATACTTTACCATCGATCCAGCAGAACGATGATTTAATGAGCCATTATCTTACATAAAAGAGGCTAATACTGTGTTCTATTCCAGTGTGACACTTGACCTTCAAATAATCAGACTAAAGATACTGCTGTTCCTAAAACTTAGTTTAATTGACAATAAAGTGAAATGACCCGGTTCTACAGTTTGTGAATGTATTACAAGCTCTCCAAACAGCTACAAAGCAAAAAGTAAAGGTTGATGGAGGCAAGAAGGAATGCCCATGGGCTGTTTGCTGGCACACTGGTTTCCTGGGGGAAATTGATTGTCTTTGAACTGGCTAAGACACAGATAAGGGAGAAACAAACTCTTCCATGTGTCAATACTCTTGTTGTGAAAGTTCTGTAAAGTTTGTATACTGCTGATCAAAGGAGGAAGGTGAGACAATAGGAGAAGAGACGCACAGTGAAAGCATGAAATTGAGATCCCCTAATTTTAACAGAGAAAAATTGGAGAGCTGCAAGCTTCAGTACAAAGGAAATGCATCAGATCTCAAAGGCATCTTCAGGTTAGATTTCCAAGTAGTTTTCTTAGTGGTGCAAAGCCGTAAACATCAGTTTCCTATGAAATGAGTGTCTTAGATCTTTTAGTTAGGTCATCAGAATAGCCTCCTATCTAGGACACTTAGGACATAACTTTGAAAATGTAATTTATCCCAAATAGCTATTTCATCATCTCAGTGGGACAACATGCGGAGAATGGCTTTCCCTTCATGAACACTCCAGCAAAGACGAATCTTCCATTCGCGTGTCATAGCTTTTCTGAAACTGAAAGGTCAACCCAAAATACTGAAGCTTTAATCAGCTTTATGCCTTTGTCCATTTCCAAATATAGAAAAAAATGTAATGAAGATTACTGCATGGAGAGTAGTAAATTAATCTCTTATCTAGAGGAGTTTCATATTCATAGAATCATAGAATAGTTAGGGTTGGAAAGGACCGTAAGATCATCAAGTTACAACCCACCTGCCATGGGCAGGGACACCTTGCTCTAAACCATATTACTCAAGTATATTCTTCCTGTTTGGTACAATAATAGCACACATCATAGCTTCGTTAAGGTGATCTGGTATGCATGTGGTATGTTGGCCATAAATCCATTAGCTATAGGCTGTTGTAAAAGTTTTCAAGAGATCTGTGTGAGCCTTCTAAAACCAGTCATTTGTGGATAAAATAAATCATAAAATTCACCCATATTTGATGGGTCCATCATGATTCCTTATGTAAGCATGATAGATAAGTCCAGAAGCATTCAGTAGATATCTCCTGCAGGGGCTACCACCAGGGGAATCAATTGTGTAAATCACTTGGGCCTTTAAAATTAGACATACGTACTGAGACTCAAATCAGTCATAAAGAGAATCATAGAAAACTTCAGCTTTCTCCTGAAATCTAGAAAGCTCTTTCAGTTGATTGTTAATTTAAACCCTTTTTAGCTGCTACATTTTTCCTGTAAACAGGGAGTTTAACCTTACTGAAAGCAATGTTTTCTTTACCTGAGAAACTTGTGTAACACAGAATAGCTTGATAAGAAAAGCAATCCATAAACTGTGAAGCATAGGACTAGGAATGCTTCATTCATTTAGGCCAACAATTACCAAAGTACCTGCCAACTTGCTGCTTTAATTTAGCTTTCCTACAATGATATGAATGGCAGTAGCACCCTATTAAATTATGGGGGAAAAACGTCCAGGTGAAAGGAGGGGAGATTTCAGGTCTTGGAAGAAGGAGCTCAGACACTGTGCAGAGGATACAGTGACTGTTCTGCAGCTATCCACTCCTGCATGCTTCTCCACTCCCTGGTAATGAGATCCAATGGGGCCAGTCCACGGTCCTGCCAGCTTCTCCTGCCCTGTCCACTATTACCCCTTGTCCTCCATTTTCTCCACAACACCAGCTCCACTTTGGCCCACTCATGGCAAATCCACTACGATGTCAATCCCCTGCCACTCCCAAATCTGACCTTTCAAATTCCATCATTGCTTCACTGAACTATCTCATTCTGCCTCCTATTATTTCACATCTACCCATCATTTGGGGAGAATCCTCTTTTCCTGACTGCTGTCCTTAATCTCTCTCCAGACACAAATTTCCCCCCTCCCTGTCAGCCAGGCTTGACACTGACACCAGACCTCCTGTCACACCAGGGGTTTACTCTCGAGCAGAGCTTTTGAATCCATGAGGCACCACAGCTCACTAAAGGGAAAACAGCATGGTGCTTCAGGAAACATCCTGATAAACCCATAGCCTTGTGTGTTACAAGGCAGGATAAATGGCTAAATTACCCCATGCTGTGCTGCAGGGTCTTGAACGATTTGTGCAGCTGGGAGCCTCGCAGGATTGATTTGAGCCAAGGAGAAGGCTGAGCATGGGAAGGAGCAGTCACTGACACTGAGTGGGTATGAGGTTCCCCTCTACCACTGTCACAGAGTACCTGCCTCCCTCCCGCATGCCACCAAGTTTTCTCCTTTTTCACTGTCCTTCCTAGTCTCCCAGCAAGTCTTGCCACATTTTTCTTCTTGTCTCCCAGCTCTTCCCAGGTTTCTTCCTAGGGCTGGCAGTTGTATTTGCTTGCTGAGCTTTGAGCTGGCATCAGGATAGGTACTGTAACATGGAGAGCTTGCTCAGGCTGATGATGCTGGGATGCCGTTCTCAACCAGGACTGATGTTTCCTATCTAAGGAGAAGGGATCTTAAAATCATCTAATTCCAACCCTTCCTGCCACTGGCAGGGACACCTTCCACTAGCGCAGCTTGCTCCAAGCCCCTGTGTCCAACCTGGCCTTGAGCACTGCCAGGGATGGGGCAGCCACAGCTTCTCTGGGCACCCTGTGCCAGCGCCTCAGCACCCTCACAGGGAAGAGCTTCTGCCTAAGAGCTCAGCTCAGTCTCCCCTCTGGCAGGTTCAAGCCATTCCCCTTGGCCTGTCCCTACAGGCCCTTGTCCCAAGCCCCTCTCCAGGTTTCCTGCAGCCCCTTTAGGCACTGGAGCTGCTCTAAGGTCTCCCCTTCAGGAGTCTTCTCCAGGCTGACCCAGCCCAGCTCTCTCAGCCTGATGTCATAGAGAAGATCTGCATCTTCTCTCTCATCTCCTCAGCCTGCCCCTCCTAAGAGGGTAAAGACTCCTCTTATTTAAAGGGCTTTCCCCCAGGCTATTCTCATGTAGCTTTGGACCACTGCCTCCAGAAAAGACTGGCAGACACCAGAGTCCTGCTTCTCATCCACCCTGCATGAGAACATGTTTTGGAGACAGGGAGCTTGCAGTTGTACCCCATTACACTGTCCCAGAGAGTCCCATCTGCCTTTCATGACAGTCCTTTGTCCCTGTTAACTCTCTAAAGCCTGGTTTAAGAAAACAAAACAGAACTGGAAGGGAAAGGCTCTTCCTATAGCATGTAATGCTCTGACATGGTGCAGGGTGGTATGATTTAGAGCGAGGTGTCCCTGCCCATGGCAGGGGGGTTGGAACTGGATGATCTTAAGGTCCTTTCCAACCCAAACTATTCTATGATTCTATTCTATGGTGACAGCTCTGTTACTGAGTGGCTGAACCCAAGTACAGTGAAGAGCTGCTGGAAACCGAGCGTGCATGGTGCTGGCAAGGGCTGCGAGCACGGAGGAGAAATCCACCTCAGCATCTAGCTCTTGCACACGTGCAGAGGCACTTACTAAGCCACAATAGCTGTGCTGCAGGGTATCTTTTGCCTTGTTATTGTGCAGGGATTAAGGCTTGGCTGCCTTGATGAGAAAGCTGTCCTGATTGCTCACAAACTCGCAGCATTCCCAGTGAAAACTGTTTTAAAGAGACAGGAAAGGCAAGCAGAAAACAGTTCCCACTCTGCCCTTTAAAACAAACTTGATTTTAACACTTAATTATGTGCAATACAGACCCATTCCTATTTCCTTTGCCAAGCTGCTGCTTGGTTTTGATCTCACAGGGTGCTCACCCTCGCAGGGAAGGAGGCTTTGATTAGGAAGAAGCGAAGGCTGCTGAGGAGAAGAAAGCCTGACTGAATAGCAGGACCAGCAGCCCGTTGCTGCCTCTGCCACTCTCCTGCTCTGTGCCCTTGGGCATGGGGCAGTGACATTTGGGGCTTTGTTTTCCCTGTTTTTACAGGAGGAGGGGAGGCAATCGCTTTCCTCCTGCACATTGTGCTTGGAGACATAAGACTGCAAAGTGCTAAACTCGAGCAGTAAAACCATCCTGGTTAGCTTAATGACAGCTCCAGAGAAGTAGCAGAATGCATCCATTATTTTTCCCCTCATCTTTTTGAGCACAGCTAATGAAGAGAAACGAAAACCCCTTGCTGAGTGCAAGCAGCAACTGTGAAAGTGATGCACCGAGACGTAGGAAACACACTGGAGTGCAGGAATTCGGTTACACGGCTGTTGGCAAATTAATGGCTAAATCAATTAAATGGAAGCATGGGATTCTCTTGAGGAAAGTCTAGTCGCAAGGAGAAGGGGAGGGGTTGTGGGGTGGGGATGACATAATCACGTTTGCGAATCACCAGCAGTGTGCATGCTTTAATCCATTAATGGGGTTTTTATCTGTGATCATAAAAAGCAGGTTACATTCAGCCTGGAAGGGAGTGAGGGTTGGAGGAGAGGGGAGGGGAGAGCAAGAGCAAGAGACAGAGACAGAGACAGACAGAAAGCAAGAGAGAAGGGGAGCACAATTCACTCGGTGAATTGCCTGCGAGCTTGGGGCTGCTAATTAGGGATCTCAGCAGAGCAGTATAACCCTCTCTCCTTCCAATGGACAGAATGGAGACAGTGGTTCAGTCCTGCTGATATTTTTTAAGCCCTCCTCGCAGTTTGATGGGCATTCCCAGTGCTTTTGTGCACGTCTCGGGAAGCGTTGACGTGGAAAGGAGCAGCGAGGAGGGGGAGGTTGGAGACAAAAACTGCAGCTCTTCTAAAAATACGGAGGGCATGCAAGAGTGTGAGCAGGCTGGGGAGGAGGGCGAGGTGGGTGCACCTTGCACCATGTTCCCCGGGTGCCAACGTGGAGCAGTTTCGGAGATGTCCCTCCTGTGACTGGACGCACCATGAGCATCTGGGAGGTGATCCTGGCTTTCGTGGTGGTGGTGCTGATGCTCGTGGCCCTGCTGGCCAACGTGCTGGTGCTGATGTGCTTCCTGTACAGCGCTGACATCCGCAAGCAGGTCCCAGGATTGTTCATCCTCAACCTCACCTTCTGCAACCTGTTGATGACTGTTTTGAACATGCCCCTGACCTTGGCTGGGATCATTTACAAGAGTCAACCAGGAGGAGATCAGATCTGCCACATTGTGGGTTTCCTGGAGACTTTCCTCACCACAAACTCCATGTTGAGCATGGCAGCTTTGAGCATTGACAGGTGGATTGCTGTGGTCTTCCCTCTAAGTTATCACTCCAAAATGAGGTACAGAGATGCTGCTCTCATACTGAGCTACACGTGGTTGCACTCAGTGTCGTTCCCGATAGTGGCAGCTTCTCTCTCCTGGGTGGGTTTCCATCACCTCTATGCCTCCTGCACCCTGTACAACAAGAGACCAGAGGATAGGACACAGTTTGTGATTTTCACTGGGGTCTTTCACACCCTCAGCTTCCTCCTCTCCCTTATAGTCCTGTGTTTCACATATCTAAAAGTGCTGAAGGTGGCACGGTTTCACTGTAAGCGGATTGATGTGATCACTATGCAGACCCTGGTGCTGCTTGTGGACATTCATCCCAGGTAAGGTGCCGGTGTGTTCAGCAAGCGAGACTCTTCGCTGCAGAGGAAGCAAGGACAGGGTTCGGTATGATATTAAATACAGCCTGATTTGTGTCACAGCAGGGGATGGGGAGGGGGAGAAAGCAAGCATCCTTCTTGTCAGTTTCTATTCTGCATGTTTCTTTTACTTGTATTTGTTTTACCGGCTGCAGAAGCAACACTTTTTTGTTGTGGTTAAGGGCTTGTTTGGGGGGCAGAGCAAACAAACAGGCAGTTTTGGCTGGGCATGCACTTCCCTTTGAGACAGTGATCAAATCACTGCCATTTGTGTCCTAAGGTGGATTTAGCAATCCATAGATTTGCATTTTTTGGCACTGTCAGCCCAAAACACTGCTGGATCCCTAAGAAGGAGCAGGCAGAGGCTGCACGTGTCCCTTCAGTTGGAATTCTGTTGGGAAGCTGGGTGCTGTGTCCCACTCCTTCACCCGGCAGTTTCCCTATCGCCATGCCCTCTGTAACTTTATCTTTCCTGAAGGCAGAATTGTCAGGGAGTAACATCTGCAAAATGCATACACTCAAGTGCCTATGCTTACATCTAAGTGAGAGACTTCAGTAGTGATGTTAATACGACAAGCAAAGGGAAGTATAAAGTTCACTTCAAATTACAGTCTTTAAGCAAGACCCTTGTGCCTAGACAGAGGAAGAGAAAAGTCTCTGGGGGCTGGGAGAATAAAGAGGTTGAAAGCAAGTTCCAAACGGGAATGAATGTGTCCTGGATACTGCGCAAAGTGTCACATCAGGGATTAGACACAAACTATAAATCCTGCATGAATAGGTATGTCTGGATCTGGAAGGGATGCAGATTTGGTGTCTGATACAGGGGCAGAAGTCTGCCTGGAGATAAGGAAAGCTGAGAGCAGTCAAAAAGGGCAGTCCCAAGCCAAACATCCCACCCGATCCCCCTTCGATGTCCTTTGCTCTGCAAGCTGGAACAGCTCTCTCCATTAGCAGCCAGCCAGCAGCAGGGCTTCAGGACTGAAAGCAATGTGGCTGTCCTCGAAAAGAGGTCATAATTTGGGGATTCCTAAGCCTAAGACAAATAAATCTGAAAGGATCAGGGCAGGACAGCACACTGTTAGAGGAACAGGAACATTTGCTCAGAATTCTCCACTTAAGCTGTTTGGTCTTTCTCTTGACCAAGTATGCAGAGCAGAACTTTGGGCAACTCCTATAACTGTTCTTGAGAAACACTTGTATAAATCTTCCCTTATTCGCTAAGTCACATAGAGGAAAAAACACTCTCCTGCCCTACGTGCTGTCTGGCTGCTAAACTGTGCCTCAACTGGTCTTAGCTCCTGCACGCACTGTGAGATGTGGTGGTTACTCCCTGACGGTGCCATAAACCCACCAGAGCTATTTGAAATAGCAATCATTGTGCCTAATGCTTAAAGTATGCTTGGACTGCACAGCAAAGTTTAGGAAAAGGACAAAGATCTCAGTGCTCTTTCCCCTCCTCTGCATTTTTTCTGGTCTAGGTTAACTTGAGGATGTGTGCAGTCATTGCACAGAGGGGTGGATTCAATGGGGCTGTGGGAATATCTCCTTTCTTCAGAGGAGGCAAATAACCTATAGTACTAACTCTTATTTATCTCTCACATCAGGTTATTCTAATGCTTCTCTCTAAGAAAGGAGAGTTTTAGTTTCCTTTTTAGACTGCATAACTGGTGGCTGATATGGTCTGTGGTGATGTTGCCTTAACTGGGACAGCTACGGCCACTGAAAGGGCTAGACCTCAGATAGCCTTCCCTGCTGTGAGAGCTACGCAAAAGCTGAAGGTCTCCTGGAGAAGTCAGTGACATTCATAAAGCTCTGAGATAGCAACAGCATCATTTGAATCACAGAAGTGATATATATATATATATACAGGTGGTTTCAGTGTTTACCATAGTGCCTAACACCATAGGCATGGATGCTGGGGGAATTGGCGTGAGAGAACTAAGTTTGCAGTCCCACCTTAGACTACCCTGCCTTCTCTGGCTTCTCGCACGGTCTAGTTTCAAGGCTGAGAAATGTGTACAGACAATTTTCTGCTTCCCATGACTCAGAATCCACCCGCAAGGGGGTCCAGCGACAGGCATTATGACAGATGGCTTCATTACCTGTGACTTGGAAAGGCATGAGTGATCTTCTGAAGATCATGCAAGACGAGTACAGAGTAAGCCTCTAAATACCACACAGATTCATGTGAATGTTGAGGGCACTTGCCCTTTCAAGTTACCTTAGGCATTTTTACTGGATACTGCTTTTTTCTTGACTTTGTTCTTAAGACCAAGATATCTTTGGCATTGTGAGAAGTTTGGGCAAGATCCCACTTAAGTGCTTAACCCATGTGTTTCTTCACTCAAATTATCTATACTATATTTTTGGTGTATTCAGCTCTATGCATCTCTAAGGTCCAGTATCTCATAAATGCTGTTTAAAATACCAAACCTTCAAAGGGATATTTCCAAGATTTTCCAAGATATTAAGATCTTTAAACAAAAGCTTAGTCAATAATCCACTTCTATTACTAGTGTCACTGCTGGAGCTCACATGCATGCTCTTATCTTAGTGCATGAAAGTGTGTGCAAAAGCAGAGTACTCATCTGCATACATTGTCTATGTGAAGAAGTGAGATAAAATACCTTCCCCTGTGATGTGGTGTTTATCAGCTACACCTGGGAAGGCTGAACAAAAGAAACTGGTTGAAGAGTATCAGGACTTCCCAAGTCATGTGTGAGCTCCAGGGCTGAAAGACAGTTTTCTGTGTGCCAGGAAGGAAAAGATGTTACTGGAGAAACTGTTAGAGACAAAAACCATGCCACCTTTACACCCTAACACACCCCCCCCCCCCAGTTTAACCTACTTTGGAGATTGCTTTTCCTACATCACTGTGTGCCTGGGATACTATGAATTTAATAACACACGACTTAGGTTAAGCTGTCAAAGATCATCTGTCTGCACCTAAAAATACTCCAAGTTCTCTAGCTCTTGCAGAACTGAAAGTACAAAGGTGGACTTTTTTCCCTTCTGAGCTGTCATTTCTAGCTGCAAATAACTCAGACGCAGAACATGTAACACATTTAGATGTGTTTTCATTCTACTTACGCATATTCTCTGACAGGAAGACAATTTGTTATTTCTAGGAGAACAAACTTTTCCTTCAGAATTTATTTCATTTTGCATATCATGATAACAGCTCCGGGTACTGACAATGTATACCATTATATACCATATAAAAAACAGAGCAAAGGAAGCACATTTTCCCTACCAGAACCAAAACGTAAGACTCAATGCCACAGAGATCACTGAAGCACACTGAGATCCTCTGGGCATAACGTGTTTAGATGATGATCAAACATATGTAGATACAGCAAATAACGTAAGAGTATGACCATAAATCTCTTAGCTATTAATATGTGTAAGTGTGGAATCTGACAGTGACTCATCAGTTATAAATTTATAATAAAACCAGAGAGATTGATGGTAAGCAGTTACAAAATGCAACACATGGGCCAGACCCTTCAGTTTGCCCAAGGTGTGATTGTGTTACCATCAGATCTATGCAATGAGTCATCATGTAGCAGTGTTATGTGCGTAGAGAGGGGTTTCAGGACTCAGTCTGGCTTTGGTTTTGCCCTTTCCCAAAGGAGTTTGTTCAGCTACAGATGGCCCTGGTGCTCTGGGAAATACAACCAGTGCTGCCCATCCAATCTAACCATCTGGTGAAGAGAGTAACGCATCCATTTCCTTCAAAATGCACAAAAAGCACAGGAGTTACACAAGCAGGTAGAGAAGGAGGATGAGCTTTGATGTTATTACTCTGGTAGTAAGCTAATATGCTGATTCCAAAGGAGATTTCCTGCAGTGAAAGTGTGATCTCAGCTCCTGCTCCAATCACCTAGCTGGCACACCAAAGGCCTTACCAGCTTTTCTGATGCTCTGGTGAGATCACTGGGAGAACAAAAAGAGAAACTCTTGTCCTAAAATGCCACAGGTAGCAAAAAATCCCAGGGGGTGACTAATTTGTACCTGTTTAGTTGGGAATCAAGCCTGGTGTGAGGCGAGCAGTCAGAATATCACAGTGCTGTGGATTTATTATATGGTTCCCAGATTTGCAGAACATTCAGCACAGGCAGAGCACAAAAGATTTATGGCCACACAGTTCACAGCTATGGGATACAGTGATTGCTCCAACGTTGGGCTGAATGTTGAGAGCATGATTTTCCCCTGTTATTATTTCATTGTGTTTTATTGCTTATCTTGCTGAGAAGTTTCTCCTATCTGAGGTAGTGATGTTGGAATTGCTGTTTCTAGGGAAGTAGCATGCTGCCTACCCCACTCTGGATATTTTCCAAGTCTCTGAATAACATGAGGCAAACTCTGGGTTCAAAATACTGCTTACAGTAATTCAAAAAGGAGCTGTAACTGAATTGAAGGCTGAATACCACCACTTTCACTATATATAAACCTATATGACGGGGGTGTGTGCATATGAATGTATAACCATGTATTTCTCAGTGATTGTTTTTGGAGAGTAGGATGATCATACGATGAATTAATACTTGGTATTGCCCCACATAAATGCAGTGCACCTGGTATTGACTTCTGTGATTACAACAGTTCCTGGAAAGATTGATTTCCATCATTCCATAAGTAAAGCCATTAAAACCTGCTACCTGATATTATGATTCATGTTCTTGTTTGTGTTGAATGTCACGCAGCGTAAGAGAGCGTTGTCTAGAAGAACAAAAGAGGAGGAGGCAGCGAGCAACAAAGAAAATAAGTACCTTTATTGGTACTTTCATACTTTGTTTTGCACCTTATGTAATTACAAGGTAAGTGTGAACCTACATACTGGAAAAGAGTACTGAGATGCACTCTTAGCTCAGAGAAGTAGGGCACTCCGAGCCAGAATATGATTCAAGTCTCCTGTAAAAATGTTGTGCACTGTTTCAACTCTTATGACAGAGACTGCATTTACTGAGCTAAAGAAGCCCTATATAAAACGCCATAGTGCTTATGTGATACAATCTTGATGCAGTCCGTGAACCAAACTCTGTCCCATCAACCCAGTCAATGTGTTGGTTGCATGGGAGTAATCTAATTTAGGAAGTCAGCCCATGGGATTTTGTGGGCTATCTTCAGATTCCCACCCTGGTTCAGGGAGAGATACTTGTCTGAATATGTCAGACTGTAAAAATCTGATCAACAAGATCCAACTGAGGTGAAAACATGGTCCACAGACTTAAATGATAGTTTTGTCTGGCTGGATAGAGTTTATTAGTCATAAACATCAAATATCAAAGCTGTTCTGTTATAAGGCTAAAGAAAAATCCTGTGATTTATGGTCAGATATCTATCTATCTGCTAGTTTATCTTTGGGAATGGCTCCTGTGGGAAACACAAAATTACTCCTATGAAACATAAAGTATTGGAAAGTGAGTGTATCCAGAAAAGTGTTATCTAGTTGTTGAAGAAAATTTACAACTTGAATTCCTTATTAGAAGACTCTGGAAAAACTGAAATGCTGCTATGCAGAATAGAAAAAGAAAAGAATATTTTTAAAGTATCTCCTGTTCCAATGCTATCAAATAGAAATTATTGGGGCTGACTTCAGCCAAACTCAGATCCAACATAAATAATCATTAAAAAAGCTGAATTAAGACTTCATATAAGTGGGCATGTGCCAACCTCAACTTTTTCCAATTCAGCATAATATGTTGAATTTCTGTTTCTAACGGAACTGTTCACAAGAAGGTATTGCAATCTCTTAGTAAAAATAGAAACCTGCATGTCACATTGGTTTTATGTTCATGATAATGATAGGTAATTGATTCATGCTGTTTATTTATAACAATGTTGGAAATACATTTGTAACAGTGTTACTAGATTTACCTTCACTTTCGCTTAGTAGTCACAAAAAGACACTGTACCACACACTCTGAAAGAGTATGAGAGGATTAATAATTATGCACATTTAACTTTAGTTCTCAGGTTATAAGATATTGAAGTATCTGTCGCAGTGCAAATGGTTAATTTTCATTTTATGCTGGGTCTCTGAACTTAATGAGAATCGTCACAGTCCCAGAATAGCTGGCAGCTTCATCCTGAGTGACGCCGAGTGCTCTAACCAGAACTGTCAGAAGTATTTTTGTGCTCCTCCATAGGCATCTCAGCCCAGGAAACAGGCACCACCTCCTTCACCTTCTCTTAACTCTGTGGCATCCTAATTTGTTTCCCAGTTAACTTAAGATACAGAAGAGGGGTTAGAAAAATCCTTAGCCTCCTCTCTTTAGTCCATACAAGGGCCATTTAAATATTCCCCTTCAGTCTGTTGAGGACTGATAGCTTTGCCAGAGAGAGCAACAATGAGAAGAGTCAAAATATAGCTTTCTGAATGCATGAAGATGCTTGCCTGCCCAGGGGTAGACTTGAACATTTGTCAGGCAGGGTAAAGGCTATCATTTTCCTGGACTTTTCAGTTCTGAAACATCAGGGGGATTCTGCTCAACAAGCTACAGGGAATTATGGAATCATACAATTCTAGAATGGTTTTGGTTGAAGGGACCTTGAAGCTCATCCAGTTCCAAATCCTGCCATGGGCAGGGACACCTTCCACTAGAGCAGCTTGCTCCAAGTGCCATCCAGCCTGGCCTTGAATGCTGCCAGAGGTGGGAATTCCCTCTTTAGCTACTTGAAAGACTTTGCTGGACACTATACTGTTCTAGGACTTCCCTATGTCTCACATGTATGGCTGAGGGTGCTGAAGTCAAGGAGACTAGGAGGCTTTTGAGCTTAATTATGTAAGCCAGTATTATCTTCTGGACCAAGTCCAGTGCTTTGTAGGTAGAGGCAGAGATGGAGGCAGTCAATCAGTTCAAGGCAGTGAACAGAAGACAGTTAATGAACTCTGTTGCTCAGCTTCCCATTTGGACAGCCAACTCTAACCAGCAATACGCTTAAATTAAATGCGCTTTTAAGTACTGCATGTACTGAGGGGTGAAAGCAGCAAATCAAAGCTTTTATTATAAAACATCTTTCTGCTTCCACACTAAAAACTAATAGTTGTCTCTAGCCATTCCATGAACCAGTCACAGAATTGTGATAATAACCCTAACCAGATAAATTCTTCTCTAGATAAACCAGAGTTTTTCAGATTACATTAAGGTAAAAATCAGTTTAGGCACCTCTTTTATCAAGAAAATGCCCTTCTAATTAGTTCAGTAGCTGACTTTAAGTAGAATCTGATTCTTTTTGCTTCAGTGTTTCCACTTTACCTATATGACAGTTGTATTACCCCATAGTAAATATTTCTAGGCATAGCTTGTTTCTTGGTTTGTAAATATTCTATTAGTACACATCTCTTCTGCTGCTATGTTTATCATTATGCAGTTCAATAGCATTGTTCAAAACACTTTCTGCAAGGAGCTTTTGCATAAGAAAACTTAAAGTCATACCAATTTCTCATATTCATTTCCAATTCCAGGTATTTCATATTGAAATACAGAACTTTGCATGTGTAAGTTAATAAGTGCTGTCAATGTGCGAGGAAATGGGCCTTGAATTAAAAATCCTGAAGTAATATCAGAAAGAAGTTCATAACCCCAGTCCTCAGATTACAGAGGATAGGCAGAAGATTAATATTCTCTTTATCGTCTCTGGGGAACAAGGATAAGCAAACTGCAACTATGCTTTTAAATTGGTTGCCTGCCTTCTGCATGCAGATCTTGCTCAGGCAGGCACAGCTTAAGAATTCTTCTGCAAGTTATGTTCCTGCCTGTCAGTGCATATAAATACATGATTTTCCTATGCAATCTTAGGCTGACACATCTGAAGAAAGAGGCCTTCTGGTCACAAGCTTCAGCTGATGTTAGGTAATTTTCCTCCTGGGCGGAAAAACCTTTTGGTACAAGCTGGCCAGTCCTGTTTGCTACCTTCATATCTCTCTGCTGGGAGATGGTTCTTGCAGCTGTGTGGAACAGGAACAACTAAAAGCAATGGTTTGCAGGATTTGCAGGCCTAGCTACAGGAGTCCAAAATTGGTTCTGCTTCCTCCCAGAAGCTGTCTGGTTGTAATACACGCATCACTTCAGATGCAAAACTGGCTAAGAGTAAATGAGGTAATGATAACTGTGATGCCATTGTTTGTATTAGGAAACAATTACTGAAATAGGGCTTTTTCACTAGCAACACAGCATACAAAGAATTCAGTCTACCAAGCAACAAAGTGAAAATAAAGTAAAATAAACATCAAGATAGAACTCATGCTCAGCTTCTTCATATCAATAGCACAATAGAAACAAATAAAAGTATAATTCTGATACTATGGGACTTGTGTGGAGACAAAAAGAATCTGAAATATGACAGAAATATTAGGAATGCAAGAGCTGATACAAATCCTTAAGGAAAGGACTGTGTTTCTTCTTGTGAGAACTACATCATCTACCAGCTCCAAATACACTGCCAGCTTTGTTTCGCTCCTGAACATCGAGACATTTTAGCTTCTTTAAGACTGGTTTATCCATAGTTTTCCCTGTAACTCAGTTAAGTTCTCAGGTTTATGCAATACATAACAGGTATCTTGCCGTTGTAGGAGCCTTCCAGCTGGACATGTACATGTTCATGAAAAAATTTTACAGTAGTGATTAACTTCATGTGTACATAAAGGGCTTTCAGTGTGTATTACCTGCATAAGAGATCAAAGTATCAAGTGTCAAGTACCACAGCAAAGCATCTTTTAGTTTGAAATAAAAAGATATTGAAGATCAGCAGCAGAAGAGTGGCTTATGGAAGCAAGATAGGAAATTATGTAGCTGAAACTCTAGAATTTAATTTACAGGTAGCACTGAAATATTAATGCTCCTTCACTGAAAATGTCTTCTTTCTGGCTGAAACATTTCAAGAATATTGAAGCTATGCATGTAATTTCCTTCATAAATGAGAAACAAAACCTTCTTTCAGAGGCAATAAAGTACGGGACGTGCCTTGAAAGACTGAAATTTGTTTGTACACAAAATAGAATTGCACAAATTCTGTATTTGCTGCTTGATAGCTGCAAATGTAATTTACCATCAAAAATAATACACAAGAATTGTGAAATGTGTAAATATCAAGGATGCTTTAGGAACATAATCAAAGAAAACATTTCAAAGTGTTCGTTAAAGTGTAGGTTTAGCTGATCAGTCAGTGAAGGTAAAATTAGTAAGTCTAGGCTTGCAGCTCTATTTGGTATGCTTTAAATGGAGATTGTTAACATCTTGTAGAACTGACTGACAGAGACTCAGGCACAAATCTGTCATATTTTGGTCATTTGAGGCATCCAGTGGATTTAATTGAATTCAATCATATTCACGTCTATAAACCGTCCAGTAAAAAGTAAATCCACCAGATAAAATTTAACACAATGAAACTCAAAATACAAAGAAGGCATCGAATATATGAAGCAAAGAATCACAAAGATGGCTCGTGGTAGATTACAAAGCAAATATGACTCAGTAGATGATTAATTTCCAAATAGTAAATTCTCATTTTAAATCATAACAATGTGGGTGTCAGAAAGTACATTTTATTAAACAAGAGGGATCACACTAAATGAGACCACCTGGCAGTGTGAGCAAATGATGATTATGTCTGGGTTTCGATCCTACTTTGTAAGAAAGATATCAGCCAGGAAATGCAAGGAAAGGTTGAAAGAACGACATCATTTGTTTGGTGCAGATGAAAAGAGAGAGAAATGGACAGATGGCCGTTCTTTGCTATCTCAAAGCTGCATACAGTGAGAAGCTGACACAAGTGGTACTAGTGGAGGGGCAAGAGCAATTCCCAACTATTTTCATGTAACATAGCCTCATCATCTCAAATGTCTCACACATTTGTGAACCCAAAGAGTGTTTTGGCTAATGTCACCACCCCTAAAAGCATCATCTTACAGGTGCACCTCACTTCCAATGAAAGTGATACACAGTGCGAATAAATTGCTAGCACAAAATGCACACAACTATGCTCAGTATTAGAATTACCAATACTGTGACAGTGGCTAAAGCCCCAGCACTACGTGCAGACCATGGTGCTAAGCCCAGCGTACATATCTAGGGAGATACAGAGCTTTTGCCTTGGAGTTTGCAGTCTAGGCAAACTAGAATGGAGAGAGAAGACAGAATCTTGGAGTCAGTGGTGTAACAAATTAAGGCTCCTAAGTCCCACTTCATGCTCAAATGATGGTCAAATGGTCTCATGCTCAAATGCCATCTGCTCAGATGGCAGACCATACCATCTGCCAGTGCTATTTTAAAAAACATGATGTAGTGAAAGTTTATGGAATGGGAACAAAATGACTAAGGAAAAAATCCTCATCCCTAAACTGCTTGAAGTACCAACACTATTGCCATTGCTGCTGCAAGAACCATACTGCAGAATGCACCTCGGAGATGGTGCATTTTCTGAAGACACATTAGCAATTGAAGTATTTTCCAGGCTAGTTTGACAGCACCTTCTGCTGAGGACCTTGTGGAGATATCAATATTTCACTGTTAAATTTACTCTGTCCTGGTACAAAGTGATCTCTCTGTGTTAGAGCAGGTATGAGGAATACATAAAGCTCTTCCTTCTCTCCCTAAATCCCCTAATAAGTTAAAAGTTTTGCCTTGCTGTATTTGTTGCAGATGTAAGGGTTTTGCCTTTAAAAGTAGCTTTTAAATTCAAGATATATTATGCCATCTCTCAAAGATGCATTTTCTTTCCTTGTGTGCTTTTCCTGTGACCCAGACAAACTGTTTAAAGGATCAAACTCTCTAGGAGCTGGACTGGTTAAGAAAGCCAGATAGCACTGGTGATGGTGTTTCTTGGATGCTGAAGAGGGGACCTAAAATCACAAGTTCAGCCTAGATACTTGACTTTTAGACAGCTAATGGTAGGGGAATATGACTCCCATAAGACCAAGCAATGGCACTTTGTGGCCCTCAAAGTGTGGTTTTGCATCAATATTTCAAAAATCATTTTAGGTTATACAGAAATAACCTTATACAATACTTGTGGTTAAATTTGGTGTGCATGATGGATTCAGTGGTGACACTAAGTGTGAAAGTCATCAGGAAACATATCTGGGGAGATGATATTCCTGTCATTCCCTTTAGAGCTATATTAAGTCTGTGATGAACTTCAGCTGTCAGAAATGTGATCTTATGACACACACTAGAAAAATACACAAAAGCATTAAATAAAGAAAATATATAATGAAGTGAAATGTTACTGTCTAACAAGAAATCTTTTTAGGACTGAAAACCATGGAGTCACTACAGAAAGTAACACACATTGTCTGTATGGATAAATTTGGCACAGAGCCTAAAAGTGTAATGGTTGAGGATATGTTATGTAGGAAATGATTTTGAGTAGATGCTGTGTGACCTATTTCATCAGCAGTAAACTTTCTGTGAAGTGTTGACCTGCTTACCACAGAATATTTATGATCTCCACAGTGGTGTTCACTACATAGTACAAATAGGGCTAGGGTACAGTAGCCTGCAGAGAAGGGTGCCCCTTTATCAAATATCTTCATGGCCTGAGTGAGACAGATGAGTTGAAACCCCAGCTCTACATCAGAGATCTGTACTCAGTTTTTAGGCTCCAAAAGGCATAGTCTAACAGCAAATAAATGGGATCTTTTGAAGACTATCTCATATCCTGTTGGATTTATTCCATTTTATACTAAATTCTTTCAACAATTCAACATTTATTGAGGAAAATGAGTAAGAGGACCTGTTAGGAGGCAACACATCCAAGGTCTGCTTCCAGACTCAGTAAATATACAGCTAACCATACAGTCAAGGATGCCTTGAAGTTTGGAGGCCAAAACACTCTGATAGGAGGTGTGTAATCCCATCCATAGGAATAGACCTCAACTTTACATTTGCAGTGTTAGAAATGCATAAGTGGAGGACTACATTTTCATTTTCATGAGTATGCCATTCTTTTGTTTTCTTGCAGTATTCCAGGCATAAATTGGTGTTTTGGGGGCGTCTTTGCCTTACAATTGTGCTGTTCTACATTTTAAATGCGAATATTCACTCTTTTACCCTCCCTCTTTCCACAGACTTGTTGAATTATCCTCTGCAGTCCACATCAACTCCCACTGGGGAATCATTTCCAAGTGCTTAGCTTACAGCAAAGCTGTTTCAGACCCTTTTGTGTATTCTTTGCTACGGCATCAGTACAAGAAGACATGGAAAGACATCATAAACAAGATCCTCAAAAGAAGCTCCATCAATTCCTCTGCCCTCACGAGCGAATCGCACAATAGGAATATATTGCAGCTGAACGAATGAGGAGCCTGGTATGGGACCTACAAGACACATAACATGATATATAGGAAACAAAAGTAACTGGCCTATCCCTAGTATCCTCAGCTGTCAAGGTTTCGGGAGGCAGTCCTGGACAGGTTGAAGCCCAGCCCATGTTCCTCCAGAAACCCATGTAGCATCTAAGGGAGGCAGGCTGTTTTGTACCTCCTGCCTCCGACTAAGAGTGTTATCGATCTGTGGTCCTGCAGGCTTCACTAATACAAACCTCCCATTGATCTCCATCAGCAGTTACACATACATATAGGGGAAAAAACTAGTCTTCAACAAAAGGACTCATGACAGTAATGGGAGCAAACTGGTGCCATCACAGGTTCATTCTAAAAAGCCACAGAGGGATATTTGTGCTGCGTTTTTCACTGACTGCAGGTAACACTCCCTCCAATGGGGATGCCAACCTGGCTTAACAAAAACCACCCCAACCTAGTTCCTTGAGTAGGTCGTGTATAGAACACCTCTTAACAGGAAAAGCTTAATAGAAATATCTTTACCTAGATACTCATTGAGCCCAAAGCATCTTTCAAATTCTTCTAATACACAGTTTTTGAACAATCCTGTAGAACTGAAGGAAGAAAATATCACTTTGAAGTACTGTCTGGCTGGATTCAGCCCTGTCTTCTCTAAGTTTTTCAAGTAATTTCCACAGAATCCCGTTAGTTTTCTCCCCATTAAATTACAGCAAAATAGAAGTGGTAGACAGGATGGAAAGGTCATGATGCCTCCTGCATACCTTGCAGTATATCTGAGCTATAAAGAGACAGATTTTGCTCAAAGCTGGAGAACTGGGCCCTGGGCCTAAAGGAAAAAATACCCCAAAGCACCAACCCCCTCAGAACCACCCACCAAACAACAAAACCTACGAAAATAACCCCAAAATTGCTTTTTCTAATGTCATTAATTGTGGTTATTTTGCCTACAGATATGTTACTTAAGGGAAAGATGAGCCTAAAGCTGAGTTTGAAAGTATAATTTCCAAACCAAATAGAGTAAAAATAATAGACCCCCCCCACTCCACCATGAGTGCAGCCAATCTGAATCCACATCTCAACATGCAAATCTCAGTTTTCAGTATAGATCTCAATAGCTGTAGACTACAGTTATGCACAGTAAAGTTATTAGCGTTTACTATGCCTTCAGTTCAGCCTACAGCTAATATAGGCTTAAATACCAGTAAAATTTTGAAAACCAGACCAATCCTACATGTCACCCTTCCTCAAACACCACCACCGTATCTTCATTTTTGCAAACATGATTTAGGTCATTGGAAGTACGACTACAGCTAGTAGATGGCTTCACAACTGTCATGTAGACCTGTGATGCTGAAGCCACCCTCTGGTGTCTAATGGAGAATTAGCTCTCCTGGGTAATTTTCAGTGACATCCCTCTCAATTCAGTGAGCACACTATGAAATGAGACAGCTTTTGAAGTGTTTTCTTATTAACTAAATTGTAAAACATCGAGGTCAATAATGAATCAGGCTTTATTTCTGTTCTGATTTTTAGGAATACTCAATTTCTGAAACAATTGGAAACAAAGCTTTTTTCCTCATAATCTCTTAAAAAAAAAATCAGATACAGAACTACTCATTTCAAATGCTTTATATTTTGACTGGCAAAAGACTTAGTACCAAATCTGACCTTAATTCTGCATACATTTTTCTACAGAAAGTGACATAAATTCCAAAAGACAACAGCAAGTTAACATCAGAAATAAAATGAATTTTTGCTGAATAGGTCAAGAAAGCTGCTGTCCAGTGGCCATAAAAAAAGAGTTTTTTTAGTAAGGGTAAATACATGCCCAGATTTTGAATAGTCTTGGTCAATCAGGCTTCATACATGCAATGACAGCTTAAATAATAGCTGATATAGCTGAATATTCGTGCTTATATTTTTCATGTTAAGAAAAGATGGTCAGCATCATATTGAGAAAATAAGGACCTCAGTACTAAAAACATGGGATTACATTTTAGTTATTACCTCCTGTGTCCCCCAGGCAAAGGGAACTGTTTGATGCCTATAGCTCTGCACAATCCCTGACAGCAAAGGTTAATGAGATAAAACAGTACATTTCCCATCACTCATTTCAAATTATCAATATCAGTCAGTTTGCAAACATTAGCACGCTCCATTTGGCAAACTCTGCCATGAATAGAAGTCTTTGATAGAACAGACATTATGTATTTGTTCATACCTTGTAAAAAGTGTTGTGTGCTGAGGTTTCTGTCTTGTGATTTAAAGCCCAGACAAGTAACTCAGTGAGGGGCTTCACCCCATCATCGGTGAATGTGGCGTCATACCTCAGCTGTTAGTCTGGAGAGCCTTTCTTGAGCCCTTAGCATAGTCCTACAGCTACAAGGAACCATAATAATATATAAATTGTCACGATTTATAAATGGAAGAATTAATATAATGAAGATCATCAACTACCATGTGAATAAAACAAAGGAGCTTAACTATAACTTTTAGTTATAAAAAAACATAATTACAATAACATATACCCACAAATATAGAGACATACTTTAAGTAAGTTTTCACAACACTTTCTTCAAAATTAGCCTTTCTCCAGATAAATAGTCTACCTCATCTTAATCATTTTACTTTAGGCATAACCTAATTTTCTCAGGTGCAATAGGTAACAACACCCAGTTCAATACTTGTTTCTTAAGAAACCCAAGTCATTTTCATGACTCATTTGTATCAGAGTGCAGGATATTAGAAAACTATTAGTGAGTTTAGAAAGACAAAATCTCTATATAGGATTGCTATATGTTTTACTAAGACCACTTTTACCTGAGTAAACTACAACATGATGATTTTTAAAGTCCACAGCTGTTGTCAACTTACATATGGGGCTGCTGCCAAAGTCAATGGGACGTTTGTATTTCAATAAAGATAGTCCCAGAAGGATTTTGAATTTCAGATCAATTATTCATATAGAGTAAGCAAAATTCCCTGAAAACAAAATAAAACACACTGTACATTTAGAATGGCTAGTTAAATATGAAGAAGGATACAGCACTGGACTTGTCTCATTATCCTTGTGTATCACAGTCAGTCACTGGTCGATTTATGTGTCACCATGAGCAATAAATCTCTCCCTTTGTATGTGTTTAAAAATTCATCTTTCTTTCATGGTGCCTTTCTTCTAGACTTAATCTTAGCGAATAAATATAATTTCCCCTTACTTACATCAGCCCTCGGACACATTGTCATATTTCTACCATCTGAAGCAGGCAGGAGTTGTAAATGCTGGTGGCTTGACAAACTGACTCAGTATACAAAGTAAAAGTAATACCTAACATTTCCTGATAACGTTTTGTAAGACACTAGAAATATGATTCTGTGTCTCGTTTGGTGCCGGACAGTCAGCTGAATTCTTATAGGCAACTGGCACAAAGCTTCTAAAATGTATGTCTAAGTGATGAATGTAGATATAACTGTCTGCTGAGTATATATGTACTATACAACACTGACTCCAGTGAGTTAGAATAATGATAAATGTAATGCACAGTACTTTATTATCTCCGATCATGAAGCAGAATTGTTCTCTTGTCTAACAAAAACACGTGTGTGTGCGTGAGAAGGGGGGGGGAGATATTTTCCATTTGTTATTTAAATATTTCTGAAGACATTTGTGAAGTATGGCTACAATGTGTGCCCAAACTATGGAACTGCATGGGCAAAACCAGTGCAGCTGCTTCAGCAATATGCAGTGTTTTGTTTGTTGGTAGCTGCGATCCATATGCAATATCTATTCCTCACATGCATGTCCAACTAACGTTTTCTTCATACCTTGTAAATTTGGCAGGCGGAACATTGGCAGATGAGGAAGGCAGTTTAGTCCACTGTGTCCTTTTACAAATTCGAGCTTTTTCCTCCATTCCTTTTACAGTTGTTTATACAATTTCAAAGTCCTAACTTTGAACTAATATCCAGCTTTATGTCATTCTTTTTGAGCAGTTTAAATGTGAAGATCTGGGTAACTGCATTTGCTAAAAACTACAAGAGACTGACAAGACTTTATTGAATAAAATACCAAGTGCCAGGTTCTCTCCTAACATAAATCGACATAATAACTGGTTGTTTCACCTAAGGATCAGGCCCCATTAGATAACTATTTCCATATTTTATAGATATGTCTTCTAAATGTGTAGAGCCCTGTATTCACAGTTTTGCAAATGGAAAGATATCAGCAGGATTTAGTGAGTTCCTCATGTACGTTTGTGCCCACTTGTAATGTCAGGCGACTGCATGACTGTTCTCTAAACAAGTTCTATTCCTGTTCTTACTCTGAGTGAGAGACTTCAACAACCTCTTTTCAGTGACCTTTAATCAGACTACTTTCTATGCTTGAAAAAGATCAAATCTAGACATTAAAAAAGTTCCGGGCAAACCCTTATTAAGCCTGCAGCAGTAGCCACGTGTATCACAGCACCATGGACCGCCAGAGGTCATCTTGTTCAGCCCCCAAAACACATGTCCCTGTCTCTTGCTGTACTTTATCTTCTAAATTTCACCAACTCGTTTGTTCCCTCTGCAGTAGTATTGGGAATTGGTCTTAGTTTGCTTCTGGTCAACAATGAAATCATCCTTGATATAATTGATTAAAAAAGAAAACAACTTTGGGAAGACAAATTTAACTCCAAGAAACAGCTGCAAAAGAACAACTTCAGAGGTTGCAAACCTGAGGCAGAAATGGGTCTGAATGGGAGGCTGAGAAGCTATCAACTGGTTTTGCTGCTGCAGTATGCGTTACCCTGGCTGCAGTAGACTTTTTCTAGTCACCTGTTTCCACACAGAGAGCTCTCCAGATCTCTCAGACACCCACTTACCCCAAAGAGAAAGGTAAAATTTCCACCAAAGCTCAGCAACTGCCATAGAATAAGCTGAGGCTCAGCCTCCATGTGTTAGGGAAACTAATGCTTTTCAGGTGGGCTATTTGGAAATTACATTACTTGAATGACTAGAAATCACCTACACTTGGATAAGCCTTACCTTAGGAAACAGTATGTCTTAAAGACCAAGAGGTTTAAGTAGCTTGCAGAAAATAATGCTTTTTTGGACCTGCATGCCTAAGATTCTATAGTTCCCTTACCCCTCTTAATCCTAAATGAAGAAAGCACTAAGGGATCTGAATATCTTGTCCTGTACATTTTTACATATGCAGTGAATACCTTTGAAATGTCCTTTGGGAAACTGCTTGTTTTTCACTACATTTGGAGACGGTTTCTCCCCACATTAAATGTTCTTGTGACTACATGAAGCTTAAAAGCAAATCCAGAGGTTTCACACCTATGTCAACTCATTGTTACTTGACCCTAAAAACCACAAAATACTTCAGCACATCACATTCAACACAGAAAGCTCAGTTAGGTTTTGATCCTATAGTCATTATGTGTCTGTTCCAGCTGGTAGCCCTGGATAGTTAGGGCTAATCATAGATTTATATATTTGCAGAATCAGGGATTAAATCTTTGTAACCTACCCAAGCCCAAATAAATGAGAACAATAACATTTTAGCCTTAAGCCTAATTTTGTTTTTAATTTGCTTTTTATGCTTTCAGCATTCAGTATATGAAAAATCTTTGATGGGTGAAGTTTCTTTATGAAAACCATCCTGCTCAAAAGGCAGCTGTCCCTGTTGAGGGGGGGTATAAAAGTTTACATGGAGAAAAGAGCTGCTGCAGTCTTTGTAAATTGTCTACTTACCTGTAGTCCTGGTGTGTATCATGTAAATATGTATTTAAGATTGTTGGTTTTTAAGCAAATAATGCTGATCTAATGAAATAGAAATGTTGCTATAGTTTATCATATATGTCTATATTTATAAGAAAGATGCTTAGCCCTATAGACTGTAAGTGCACTTCAGAAATGTGTGTAGTGAGAAACAAATACATCAGGTGTATGACAGCATGCATGTGCAGTAAATGTGTAGTAAAATATGATTCTTTTTGTTAAAGAAATACTACTGTACATGGTTTCAATGTACCCAAAGGCGTGAGTCTACAAAGATACATTAGGATAAATATCTCCATTTGGAGATATTGCTGAATACTGGGATTCTAGTCACCATAGTTGTACAGAGCTTTAAAGCAAAACCTTTTTAAGAATCATATCAACAGCAAAAAGTTGAAAGCCTCAATCCTCCTGGGATTTGGATCCAGCAAGAGTACCTAATGAAAAAGAAAAGCAGTGCTTTATCAAGGAGATGCCAGTGCATCCTAATGAGACATCAGTGGGAATGCAACATGGCCCAGGGTGTAAAGTGTAGCTTTCCTCTGCTGTCCATCACAGGCAGTCCTATTCAGTCACATTGCACTTACAGTACCTTGAGTTCTTGAACAGAAATTAAAAAAGCCCTGTTGGATATCAGGGTTTTACATTATCTTCTGACCACAATATCCTTATGCAAAGATAAGTAGTTTCTACTCCTTTTGCTTTACTAATGTGATCAATGAGCTACAGAGGAAAAAAAACCCAAAATCTCATTAATTGAAGGCTTTTTGTTAGGAAAAAAAAAGGCAGTGACAAGACTGGGGCAAGTTCTCTGTGCTCTGCCATCCAGCCCAGCCTCATTTGAGTAGAACAAACTACCTGCATCAGCCAGAGAAAAGAATGGGTCTTTTTATAACAGAAACCATAGGGCTTCCCTAAGATGTTTGGAAAACCATTATCACAGATTGCCTTGGCAAATAGAAATAGATAACTAAAAGGTGCCTTGATTTACCTTTATTTATACACAGGACATTTTTATAAACCTTAGATTTTTTTTTTTCAGTGTTTTTATTTTCTTAAGATCATTGTAGGATGAAAGATCCCATATGTTTGGTAATCACTTTAATTCATAGAATCATAGAATCCCAAACTGGTTTGGGTTGGATAGGACCTTAAGATCATCCAGTTCCGATCCCCTGCCACAGGCAGGGACACCTTCCACTAGAGCAGGTTTATCCAAGCCCCATCCAGGCTAGCTTTGAACACTGCCAGGGATGGAGCATTTAATTATTCCCTTCTGAATTCTTGCAGGAATGTAACAAATTGTCAGTCTCCAGCTGCAATTAGATGTAAACATTTTTCCCTAGATTAGATTATTAGACGATTATTTGCTTGTAAAAAATGTTAGGGGATGGTTTGATAAATCCTCACTGTAAGGTTAGTGAGGTTGCTTGGATAAGTAAGGACCATTCATATAATGAGAGGAATAAAAGGTCTAGCCCTATGTATGTAAAATTCTGTTTTGCTTTGCAAATAATGAAAACAGATGGTTTCTATTTCTAAAAGCACTTATCCAGTCTGAAGATAGTTCTGAAACAGCATTAATAACAGCTGCTGTACATAGGGCATGTTTTGATTATATTATTATAAATATACCATTATAATTTATTTCATTTTACTTTTTTTTTATAAAAATGAGATCTAATTGCAGGGGCTATTTACTTAGGGGAAAAAATGGCAATATAAAGAAAAGCTTTCCAAATTGCATGGATAGAGAGATGCACAGACTGATTTGTAATGACAACATGCTCAAGAGTGCCATGGATTAACATGGATTCCAGGGTCCC